GGTTTGGTCACTCGTTATGGTCCGCGAATCAGTTGCCAGCGCAAGAGGTTAATTCATTTACACTTGCTCGTAATATTTCATTTTACATGATCAGCGATCCAATGTACGATTCTTTTATCTTATATAAAAAAAGAAAAAAAAAAGAAATAATAAAAACTCTTTACAGTGTGTGTGCGTATATTTCGAAAGTAACATTACGCGAAAGATTGTCCGCCCAGTTTTCGTAATTTCCTAACCTGAAAAATGGAGCAAACAAAGATTGTCAAACGGGGCACGACGAATGGAACGTTATGGAAGAGGATCGTCTGCCGATTGGCATTCAATAACATTACGCGAGGGCACCGACTGAAATCACTTCGAACACGGATTATTCAGAACAAAAAGGGGCTGGCTGTCTTCGTTTCGGTGGCCGGCGAGCAGAGAAGAAAAACGAGAGATGAAAAGAGGATTCGACGTGGCCCACGGAAGAGCGAGGAGGATGGAGAGAGCAAAGAGCCCAGGACTTTACTCGGCTACTTCTGTCCTCGTTGCCGGCTCTGTCCGTCCCTGTCTTTCTGTTCTCGTTTCTCTCGCCAGCCAAAGCGCGCTCCTCTTCTATTCGAGACGCTCGATATTTTAATTCCTGCCGATCGACCGACCGACCGGCCTCCTCTCCTGCGAAGCCCATCTTCGCTCGTGAATATCGTTCTCGCTCGAAAGACTCGCCGGAAAATACGGAATATCGATGACACTTGGAGGCGAATAATTTGTAAAAAGATTCGGGGGGAGGGAGGGGAGGGGGGGCGAAGCCGAGAGGCACGCGGCCGATCACCGTTTTTTTCATCGGTATCGCTAGTCGAGCGAATAAACTGCGTTTTTTTTTTTCCTACAAGGAAGCTGCTAGTGAAGAAGTTATGTTGTCCACTGTGTAAAAAAAAAAAAAAATTACCAGATATCTCTGCCATTCCAGCAACCTATTAAAAAGACATTAATCCCCTATGTTTTATTTCATTTTTGACAACGTGCGCTTGCGCGCTCGAGTAGCTGTATCGTAAGATCGAAATAAATTTAAATAACGAAACGACGGAAAATTTACTACTTTTAGATTCACGTTCCATTGTAAACATTCCATTATACAAAGTCGTATTATTTCATTAGAAAAAATTTATTCGGATTAATTGCAACTGATAACGATCTTTTTCATTTTATCGTAATACGATCTTGTATTCTTCTTGTCGTTTTTCGTTTTGCCAACATTTTCCTTACTACGTGTAGTAGGAATCATTAAAAAAAAAAAAAATCCATCTTTTCGTGACCGACATACTCGGCACAAATACTGTAAATATTAGACATAGAAGCAAGGCGATATACATAAGATGAAGAGTTCGAAACCCGTCGGCAGTGTTAGCTGTCATGTACACGGCGACCTGTCATAGAATCGAATGTTTGTGATAATTGTAACGAACGCGGTGTACCGTTAACGCATACGCGAAGCTCGAACGTGCCGGCCGGAGTACGTAGAGCGCAAATACGAATGCACACGATGGACTCTCTCGGTTCGTCGCGAGAAACGGAGAGGAGAAAGACAAGTCTGTGTGGTTGAACGTTGCTCTACTTCGTCCCTCGAACTTCGCTTTTCTCACTCATTTTTTTTTTCCTCCTCTGGCTCTCTCCTTCAAAGGGGGAAAAAAACAGAGAGGAAGAAAGAGAGAGAGACAGTTTTTGTTCTGGTTCGTTTATCGTTCTTCCTTGTACAATTGTCACGTGGTTCCTTTTCTCTCTCTCTCTCTCTCTCTCTCTCTCTCTCTCTCTGTCTCGCATTGCTTTTTCCAGAAGCGTTCCTTTGTCTCACTCGTTAACTCATATGATTTCGTTCCTCTTTAACGCGCACACTTTTGTTCTTTTCATTAAGTCTCATTTTCCGTTACTCTCTTTTGCTCCTTTCCATCGCACGCGTCCACTCTTTTTCTTTCGCCCGATTCACCGTCCATGCTCTCACGCTCTCTGTCTTTCGTCAACGCGCCTTTTTCCCATCCTTTTCATTTCGCTCGCTCGCTCGATCGGTAACTCACTCCTTTTTCTTCCGCCGAGTGATGAGCTTATACTTCTCTCGTTCACTTTGTTCCCTTCTCTCTCCACCGAACGGTTGTATTATATATTTACTACGTTCGCTCGTTCGCCCCTCGCGATTCGTCAGACATTCCTCTCGCCCCGATATATATCCGTCTCGCTCGCTCCCGCGTATTCATCGATTCGGTTTGTCTCTACGCCGGCACTGACTCCGGCCACCATCTCTCTCGACATTATCGTCCGTCCTCGTTCTCGCTCTCTCGCTCACTCGCTTCGCATCCACTCTCCTCGCTTATGGATTTCCTTTCTCTATCCTTGCTCGGCCCTTGTGTTTGCCTATCTTCTTCTTCTGCCTCTCCAACAGCACGAACAACACCACGGGCACGCAGTTGCGTTCACGGCGCGTCAGTGTGGACCGGTAATCTGCGAATAGCCGGTTTAACTGAGAAGGAGGAAGCCCCCTCCTCCGCCCCTCCCCTCCTCCGCGCCGATCGATTTTTATGGTGTTTCGAAATTCTCTATGCGCGTCCTGCACGGAAGCTAACCGTTTGCACACACACACACACACATACATCGGCACCGACATTTTTATCCGATCGACACGCCCCGAAATCCGAATTTTTCACCCTTTATTCGACCTATCGTCCAACCTCTGTCGGTTTCGTATTCGGCTCTGCCCGATTCAGAATTAATAATTTCACGGAAAAATCTGTCATCCTTTCAGCAATAAACTCGTTGGCTACGCCATCGTTCTCTGCTTATATTCTCGCCAAGGGCCAAGATGATCACGCGAGTGAACGAGAACAGAAGCGAAAATTCCGAGTTGTGATCGAAAATTTCTCGGCTATATGAATTTCCAATGGCTCTGTGTCCCTCCTCGGAACAGTGTTTGTTCATTGTTCTAGAGAGATAGAGACAACAAAACATACAAGAGTAATCTTTCAGTATAATAATTTCTATCCAGCGATATCATACCGACATGAATTTAAAAAGAAAGCGAATTATTGTATACGGTTTGGTCACTCGTTATGGTCCGCAAATCAGTTGTCAGCGCAAGGGGGTTAACCTCTGACGTGTCACGAATGTTCGAGAATTTTTTGTCTCAAAATTGTAATATTGTCTCAGTTTTAAATATATTTAAATATAACCCACGCAAAACAAATAATAAATTTATTGCTTCTTCTTAGTAATAATTTCTATCCAGTGATATCGTACCGACGAATTATTGTATACGGTTTGGTCACTCGTTATGGTCCGTAAACCAGTTGCCAGCACAAGAGGTTAAACGGTTCGGCTTCTGGAAATTAATTAATGACGCGCGATCATCTTATTCCCGGAGTAACAAGTCACACGGTCGATTTCCATCGGACCTCGGGGGGATCGTTAAGCTCTCGACTAATCTGCCAGCCGACACTAACGCCGGGTAATTCCAGTAGCACGCTCTATAGAGTGTTTATTGAACTAAGATTTAGCGGAGGCTTCTCCGAGCGAGGAGAAGGTTCGCATCTTTTACTGACAAACGTTATAGGTTAAGTCGCTGTGATTCTTTCGCCGATTATCTCGCTGGCTTATCGATCCTTCCTTTCAACCGCCACTTGTATCTAATCAGATTATCGCTCCAACTCAAGTCTTCATGACTTTCCTCTCTCCGTATTTACCGACTCTCTGACAAATGTTTGAAGACACGACGGTGGAAAAACTACGCGACGCGAAGGCTTCCTACGTGGGCTTTCGTCGATGCAATTTGTTTAATTATAACAAATAGAAAGGCGCATCGGCCTTTACTTTTACGTAAGAATTACGTACGTTAGCAAGTGAATTGAAACCTGAAGTGAAAGACAGCTGAATTCCATTCTTCATTCCCCTATCTATTCGTTATTTCCCTTCTTTCAGTGCTGTAAAATATAAACGATATGTAATAAAAAAAAAACACTCGAAAAATCCTCATTGGCGAGTCACCACGTACCAAAAGTACAAAATCAATGATTTGTCGATATCTGAAGTTTTTGGGAACGCAAGAGGCCGAGAAATAGAAGAGAGAAATAGCGGCAGGAAGGAGGCAAACACGCTTTCCAATATTTACGTATAACCGCACCCGATTAACCAGAAAGCCGAGGGCGAACGAGTGTTTGAGCCACTGCCGCGCCCGGAGGGGGCGAATTGAACCCCGACGAAACAGCCTGCTGCACGCAACAGAGGCCAATGAAATACAAAATGGCCCGGCCGTCGTGTGCTTAACACTTTGCTGTCGGGCTACTTTTCGCGCATCTTACATCTGCAGCGGGCAAACCCAAGCAAATTCACTTTGCTGCCGGGTTTGGACAAATTTATGAGAACACGAATAAAAATTTATAAAAACTCTCTATCGTCAAACAACTAAACTCGTTATGCACAGTCAAGTGCTTTGAAGCATTTTTTTTTTTTTTCTGTTTGGACTTGACTTCGAAAACAAAAAAACACGTTGTTTCATCTCTACGCAGTAAAAAAATCACCGAAAACAGAAAAAGAGATTCCGGCGAAAATTGATTAAAGAGATATTCATTATCGCGAAAAAGTCATATGAGACACGTGCAACCTATAAAACCGAGATAACAATCAGCCGCGATATATTTTACAGTCCTGTCAAGTTACCCGCTGTCGAGCGTCAGTATACTTAGCACTGTGATCTCAGTCTCCCAATAATAAAGTGTTAAGAGTGGAATTCAGCCACTGATCTTTCACTTCACTGATACTTCAATTACTGTATGAAAAAGTAAATCGAAAATGTGGGATAAATTCTTTTGATTTTCAAGAAGTATTCATCAACTATGCTTGAATCTAGTTAATTTTGAATTGGACAGGAATAAATAAATGATTAGTTTATCAGTACATCCTTTATCATGGTCCCTATAAATTTTGATACTTAAATTTCGGACACCTTGTAGAATCATTCGATCCTCCGTTGTGCATCTTCAATACCGGGACATATATAATACATGCAATATTACACATTGTGAGGTTAGCTTGGAATTTGACCAATATAACCATAACAGTCGTGCCACATTACAGTTCTAATGAAACTTCAGAACGTTAGAAGAAACTCGCGACTTTATCGATTCGAACCGTTCTGGAGTAAAAAGAAACTGACATTCTTGGGCACAGTTGCGCACTGTAACTCGAGAATAAAATTCCTTGTGCTGGGTCCACGTTGGACAGAACTGCTTTGCTAAGAATTCCTTTAGGTTTGTTCGTTTGGTGCTTGCTGGCACAGTGTTACAAAGTAAGGCCCCCAATGCGTCCACGTGCGCTTCGAGTTCGCGAACAGATTCTTTGATGTACCCCTTACGCGTTTATATCGAGTATACTCGTCACGAAAAGATGGAATTTTTTTGGTTTAATGTCGAATATACTCGTCACGTAGAAAGAAGATCCGCCTCTGCTATTTATCGTAAAAATTAAACAAATTACGTATATTTGTAATTTTAGCACATTTCAGAATATTCCAAGGCGACAAAACAAAGAAATAAAATTGAAAATTTTTCAAAGAAACAGCCAAAAAGATTTATCATTCTGTTACAATTTGACACAATCTTACAGCAAGTGCATTTACTGCGTTTTCGTCGACATCGCCTAGAAATAATTGAGCACACCAGTGCCCTCAAGTATCCTCAAGATAAAACAAAACGCTCGAGAGGTTAAGCTCTGTCCCCACTGAGATGCCCAACATCGAGCAGCTTTGCGTAGAACAGAAGTGGGGCGAACTGGCGGCCCGCGTGCCCCCACTTTTCCCATCCATCCCCTCCGCTGCATCGCTCTCCCCACTCTAGCTTCCACTTAGCTGACAATTAAAGGAAGATCGGGAAAGTTGCTTGTACGACTTGCTGCGGCGAGGAAGAACACACAGAGTGGAAACTAATCTTCCAGAACAGTGGTGGGGGAACCGGCCGAGTAGCTCGTAGAGGGGGAAGAAGTTCGCCGCCTCTGACTTACGATATGGACCTGCTTCAAACTTAGCGTGTTAAATTAGGATTTTTTAGACTTCTTTGTATCCCTCAAGCGTAGAACTTTTTAAAGAACTTTAATATTGCGAAAGTGTCTACATAGTTCTCGCCAACAACAGTGTGAATGCGGCATCGCAAGTCAATGATGGATCGCTCGAGAAGCAAATGACGGGCGTCATTGACGCTTCAATTTCTTTCGAGTCTGTCGCCTCTTCGTAGTGGTTTACGCCTCGAATATGCTGCTGTTGCGAGCCAGCCACTGAGCGACAGCAAGAGAGGTGCAACGAGACTATGAAGCTCTACGAACGACACTCGCTCACTGGGGTAAGTGCTGAGCAGCTAGATAATCCTCTTACCAGAAAGCTAAGTACACGGTTCTCTTTTTGTTGCAATATTTCCTAAAGGAGACAAAGCAAATTGCCCGTGATTATTCTCCTAAACGTTCCGTCGAAATTCCTCAAGTTTATTCGGCGGGGTTCAGGTACGATCGTAAATTACAGAAAGTTGAGTAGCAAATGTAGCTGTCTGCTTTCAAACAATCGCGAAGTCCCGTGGCCGCAGAAAGCGTGGAATATTGCAGCGAGTGTAGAGGAGAGGCTGGCAGCTAGAGAGCAACGTGAAACGAAATTTCATAACGCAGTCAGCGCAACAGGGGAGGGGACGCGGAGGGGGAGGGGAAGGGAATTTTCTTCAATTTGTTTCGAAATGTCGTTGTCAAACTTGTAGTTACATATTAATTGTAGCAATTATCAATTCAAAGATGATCGGTCCAGTCTATTAATACACGCAAGTAGATAGGAAAATGGAAAGTTTTCGTTCGGACGAAAGTAAATCGATTGTAAAAAGCTAAATTTACTATTGTAATTTATATTACGATGAGTTAATTAATAGACGATATAAAATGAAGGAAAATGATTTAATAAAGAATAACAAACAGAAACTATAGTGTAGAATAATGCAAACATGATTATCTATAACAGACTATAATCAATGATATTTAAAAAATTAGTTCGATCGTCGACCATTTTTTTTGCTTCTACAAAAGATGCAAAAGAAAGATCACAAGTTCGAAGAGCGTTCGCAGAAACCAAAGATGCCAAACATCAAGTCTTTTCCCAGAAAAAATATGTTGGTTAGCGAAGTCATTCTTGATAACCATTTGCTTGAAAGGAAAATACCGCTGGCACACGGGACACTTTTCAACAAAAAAAGAAAATGAAATTTTTCAATTCGACAGAGTTGGGATGACAGTTTTCTGCAAATGAGAATACTCCCAGAGACTGCGATGGTTCTCAGGTTATTTTGCCCGAAACGAACGTGTCTCAAATTACACTGCCATGGTAAACCGCCTTCCCCGATGCTAACCATATTGTAAACACTGCGACGTTCGATCACGTTGCTTCTACGCGTTTGTACCCAAACACTCGTTAATTTAACCTCGCGCTGGAATGACTCGGCCACGCATGTTGAGAATTTTTAGTCCCAAAATTGCAACATTTTCTCAGTTTTAATTATATTTAAATATAACCCAGGCAAAACGAATAATATTAAAAATTTATTATTTGTTAGTTCTATTTCTATTCAGTGATATTATTCTGACGAATTCAAAAAGAAAGCGACGAATTATTGTATACGATTTGGTCACTCGTTATGGTCCGCGAATCAGTTACCAACGCAAGAGATTAGAGGTTAGTGATGTGCCACGCACGTTCGAGAACTTTTGTCCCAAAATTGCTATATTTTCTCAGTTTTAAGTATATTTAAACATAACCCAGGTAAAACGAATAATTTTAAAAATTTATTATTTATTAGTTCTATTTCTATCCAGTGATATCATATCAACGAGTTTAGAAAGAAAGCGACGAATTATTGTATATGATTTGGTCACTCGTTATGGTCCGCGAATCTGCGGTGGTCTTGCCAGCGCAAAAACTATATATATATATATTCACACACCAAAGAAAACTAAATCAAGCAAAATTATTTTACGTTATTTCACGTAAATAAATATTTCGCCATAATAAAGGATTCAATAGCAAAAGGGACGCTGGAGGGGGAAAGGTAGAGGTAGAGGTGGAGGGGGGAAAACGAATCGGAATTTTATCGCGGTGAACAGGCAATGGACTTAAACAATTGAAATTAATTCAACACACGAGGTATCGAAGATTTTGTTTGCTGGAGAGCGAAGCGTACAATGGATTAATATACACGTGGGAAATTATTATTTCGAATAGCGTGTATACGGGGTTAACCGAGGCGCACCCTCGACCTGCCTCCACCAGTGATTGTAGGGGCTGCTTTGACGGCTCTCAATGGAACCTCGGGCTCCATTGCTCTCTATGTGCCAACCCCTATTTTCTGCCACGGCTACTAACCTCTTTTACTGATAGAGGGACTACTTTTGCGGGACTGTGAACACTACTGTGAGGCCTGCTGTGGTATATGTTTTATTACTAATT